TCTTCACGGAGCGACGCGTATAAGATACAATTCAGAAGAAAACGGATATCGTCAAGTTGCATTTTTAGCGCATTTCCACAAAAATAAAAAAAAAATGCGCTATTGTGGCCACTTTGTCCGTCCGTCCGTCCGCTCGTTTTGCGACGCTACTAGTTCTTTATCTTAAGAGCTATTGTTCTACTTTTTTCGCTATTTGGTTCGCTATGGTGTCGAGTCTTGTACCAAGGAAGGAATTTTTTCTGTACCGCTTACAAAAAAAGTTATTGTAAAAAAAACAAAAAACCGTTTTTTACATGTTCCATAATTTTACGCTTTTGCCGTTTATTAACGATCCTAGAGATCGTTTATAATTTTGCATTGCTATCTGTCGCCTGCCGGTTGGTCTCTCCGTCTGTTCCTTTGTCTGTCTGTCCATCTATCTGTCCGTGTGAACAATAACTTTGTTTAGAAATGTTCGATCGCTTTTACATCTCCGTTAGTTATGAACTGAATTGCATGAAATTCAATATGGGCATAGCTTTAGCCATATAATACGCAACGCCAAAAGTTGAATCGAATCGATTCAAAATTCACAGTGCCCTTTTCGCATCTCGACCATTTATAAACTAATTGCAAAATTTTTTACTTATAAAAGCATTTGAATGAAATTTGATACATAGGCACTTGGAATAAAGGAAAATCAACTGCCAATTTCAAAATTTGGTTTTGCGCATGCGCAGTGCCAACTTGTTTATTTATGGAAGAATTTAAACGAAATTTGATACATAGGCACTTGGGATAAAGGAAAATCTAGCGCCAGTTTCAAAATTTTATTTTGCGCATGCGCAGTGCCAACTTTTTTTATCTATGGAAGCATTTAAGTGAAATTTGATATTTAGGCGCTTGGAACAAAGGAAAATCTAACATTAGTTTCAAAATTTAGGTTTGCGCATGTGCAGTTCCAACTTTCTTATTTAGAAAAGCCTTGAAATGAAATTCTTCTCATAAGCTGACATTGAAGTAGCACGACAAAAATGGATTGCCCATGTGCAACGCTATCTTTCATATTTGTGGCCGGATTTTTACGATTTTATAGAAGTTGCATCTTACAAATGAGAAATGAATGCAAGTGGAAATGCGCTTTATGTAAATCGTTTACGATTACTTTTTAACTTGTTTATTCTCTAGCTAGATTTCTGTTGTTGATGATCACGTGAGCGCAACCTTTCGTAATTAGTACGTTGGGTATCTTTGACGTAACAAGTACGCATCACTTTTTTAAAATTGGACAACCTATCACGTCGATTTGCTCCCTCCATTTCTCCGGGCAGTAAAGAATCGTTATTCATGTATTCATTCCCTTGAGAAAATATCCAAACGACATAGGAGAAATGAATTTCGATCATTTCAATTGTTTATAGTTTTTAGCGCGTTTTTGCAAATTTATTTCTAAAATTGTAAATTCTAAAGTATCTATTTTTTCCGGTTCCTCGAATTGAAAAATAATCTCGAAAATAATAAATGAGGACATGAGCAGACGCAGAATTTTTCAAACTACAAGAAACCTATTTACAACCTTGCTACGTGTAGTTTTGATATACTTTTCTCGCAGTTGGGATACTACGTAATAGTGGAACAAGTGCAAATATAAATAAATTTAATTTAAATGCTTTCCTAAATAATGAACTTGGCAGTGCGCATGCGCAAAATCAAATTTTGATACTGGTGTTGAGCCGTGTGTCGAGCTCATTTTTTACATTGACAATTTCTTGCGCAAGTTCTTTGGTTTTACACTGCTGATAACTTGATCAATTTTTTGATGTTTTAAATGTCATTGTACAATTTCACCAGCCTTAATTCGAGCCTTAATTATTGTAAGGTTAGGTTTGCATTTTTACTTTAGTAGAAAAAAAGTGAAAAGTCAAAATGTTTCCCTCTGTCTTAAATAGTAGATTACGAAATAAAAAAAGAAAGACCGCTATAATGATCGCTGCTAGGAGTCTTTTACTTGAGACTGAGTGCAAGAAAATGAAACGAAGGTGGTGGGTTAAGCCTTGGCTATTGAATAAGCAAAAGGTAGGATTAAAATTAGTAAAAAAAGAGTTTCAAAAAGATAAGGAACAATTCATCTCCTTTTTAACTAAAGTCAACATTAATGAATAATTAATCTGGCTGGTGAAGACAAACTTATTATTATTATTATTATTAATATCATTAATGTTTATAATTTTTAACTTATTGTCTATTACTGAAAACAGAATTGGAAAATTCGAAACCGTTCCCGAGTTATCGTGTACACAGACGGACGGACGGGCGGAGGGCCGGGCCGACAGAAATTCAGAAATTTGAAAATCATGAACTGTCTTTTTGTCGCTCGTTAGTAAATAATAAGAATAGAATAATACTTCCTGAATTAATACATAATATGTATGTACTTCGGTATGTACCTAAACATGTTTACTGCATTGCACTTGTATTTTTGCGTACATTCAACCAATAAATTCATTTGCTACTCAACGTTAATACGTTAATTGTTGGTGAACGTTTAGCAATGCAACATTGTTTAACCGTTTTTGGTCCATAGTGTAAACAACAAAATTCGTCGGCCATTGCGGTAGGAATTGTTAAAAAAGTCTCCCTAGTTTTTGATTAAAAAAAATACATTCAGCACACTCTCGTCTGGGAACTTTTGGGAAACCTTGTACTTACAGGCTACACTACATGCACATACAACCAACCACCACTACTGTCAATAATAAGTAGCATGATCATGACCCAGGGCAGACTAAAAATGTCTCAAGAAAGAAATGAAGTGACTGTAAACATATACTCTCCACTCATCCTGTAATCCAATAACCCCATACAAGACAACCAAGGGCTTGTTTTGTAGCTGTTTTACAGGTTGTTTTTATTTATCAAAGCAAATCAAATTTCTTAGGGTAGCACTGTCCCCCAAAATAGTTCCAGCCGGGGCACGGGCCCTTTGCACGTCCGTTCCGGTGCGTTCACGTGCGCACGAACTTATATTGAAAAAAAATTTTTTTGAAATTTTAGTATAGCTTTATACTTACGTGTTTTTAGACTAATTTACGTCTTTCGCAGACCCCACAAAAATGTGTAGAATATAGGCCATTAAATGTGGCATTTCAATATTTTAAACACATTTTTAGAATTAGATCTAAATTAATTTGAGTTATTTTGCAGTTATCAAGAAACCATTTTCAAGCTCATTTTATTTTGACGCTGAAATTGTTGTTAAAAATGCGCCTGAAAGTTGCAGAAAATCTAATCTTTCGTAGTGTTAGAAAAAAATAACAAACATTTTCCGGTATCGCGTGTATTAATTGCATTGTGCGTTTGCCATTTATAAACATTTAAATTTAAAGTTGTGATTAGGATTTAATTATGCTTTCTAGGAAAGGTACAGTGAGATAACACAAACAAGGATAAGGGGTTATTGTGGTATAATTTTTGTACTAACCATTTTTGGTCAAATTATTCAATTTTAATATCTCAGTAAGATATTGTAGAAGCGAATTTTCGTGGCCCACTAAAAAGTTTCCGTGGCCTACCAATATTCTGTCTTTCGTTCGTGGCCCCCAAGAAATACGTCATAGCCCCCGTTGAGAAACACTGCTATACAGGGTGGTGACTTGCGTCGCGCATCATAGGGATTTCAATGTAAAATTCATAACATGCCATTATTGGCTCCCCAAATTATTTTAGACCAAAAATGTATTAAGGTTTGTTATAGACAACAATTTTTTACGTCAATCAACCGCGTTAGTTTCCAATTTTTTACATAATGAAGACAGAAAATTGGAAAAATAAAACCCGCATCTTTTTCAATGCCATGGAATTTTATAATACAAAAACTACAATATCCGTCATGCCATGGAATGTCTGCTATAAAACAAATCAAATTCTATCAAAAAGTATTATATTTAAAACAGCGAATTCAACATAAAGAAAGACCAAATGACTAAAAACGGTTTCCTAATATAACAATTTACAATAAATGTTCGAATAAGTCACCATTAACTGCAAGGCAGTAACCAAGTCAATCATAAAATCCATTTCGAACTACTGCTAATTGATAACTGGACATCTTTTTGTTTTAGAAAATTCCATGGCATCGCAGATTATTGCAAAAGATGCGGGTTTTATTTTTCCAATTTTCCGTCTTTATTATGTAAAAAATTGAAAACTAATAAGGTTTATTGACGTAAAGATTTTTTTTCTACAAAAAACTTTAATACATTTTTGCTCTAAAATAATTTGGGGAGCCAATAGTTGCATGTTATGAATTTTACATTGAAATCCCTATGATGCGTGACGCAAGTCACCACCCTGTATAGTACTCGCTATAGTATGTATATGCTACATGTTTGCCTTTGCTAAAAGCACCTGTGGTTAAAAATTCAAAATAACATCTTTATAAATAAGAAAATCTGTGCATGCCCACATAAAATCGTCAATTTCAGGTGCCCGAGCTACCAACCACAGACATACTACCTAAATGTGTTGAATACTGTGGTGTTAATGTCATGGACGGATACAGAAAGTCGTTCGTTGGAAAGTGCGCGAAACACATTTTAACTCTAACATAAAAACAGCATAATGAGTCGCCAAAGCTAAAAGAAAATTTCAATGTACCTACCTAGCTAAAATAAAAAAAAGATCAAATGAGTTGCTAACAGAGGAATCGCAATCATATTAATTGCGTTTGTTTTTTTGTTTTGTTTTAAAGTTTTAAGTATCGGTTCTGTTCGTATCTGAATTAGGTAAGTAGTGATATGATAAGTTGTAGATAAAATGCGTAAAGGAAATAAGCAACAGCGCAAATAAAAGTAAAACTCTCGTTTATTTGATGCGATACGTCTTTTTAAAACAAAACTCCTTTAAATATAATCGATGCGTGGCTTCCTACATGCACTTAGTATACGGATGTGATCGCTAGAACGGTGATTTGTGCCTTCCGCTTCCGTGACTTTATAAAGCGTCCCGTGGAAATCGACGACACAAATTGGCAATCGATGCATAATCGGGTGAGTGCGTAAAATATCAGAAATTCTAGTTGCATTCTATACACAACGTCATAAATTACGCAAAGAACAGTGTTCATTAATCATCAAAGATTACAAATACTAGATAAGGCTTTTATTTGCCGTTGTAATAGAGTAGGTACCGCGCAACATGAATAATGTTAAGCTTATATAGGAACGTTCAAATTCATCTCCCTGTTCTATTTATATTTTGATATATGTGCGTATGTTTTTTAGGGTATTTTTGTAAGGGAAATTTGCTATTTACATTTCGCCATCTTCGCCAATGTTATTCAGTTTACTATAATTTTTCGGATATAGGTAGAAAAATGCGATTCTGTTTTCGATTTTGTATTTTGAGCAGATTTACAACTAAAGTGAGCTATCATCATTTGCATGGATGCGTAGCTAATAGCTTGAATACGTGACTGCTACAAGTGATTAATAGGTATCCTACTACATTATTTAATTAGTTAATGGACATACCATACCCACATACGACCATATACTATATGTGTCATATGAGAAAAAACCTCGGAAAAAACAATAAAATTTACTCATCTTTATGAGGGTTTTTTACAGATAACTTCCACTCCCATCATATCTCATTACATTACCACAGAATACGGCCTTCTCAGAATAGAAACAGCAATGTTACAAATTTGTATGGTATTTTGGCGGATCCTGGTGGGTGTACTGTGAACTAAAGTATAAAAATCAGAGTAGCGCCATCTGGTCACCAGCTTCTAAAGTCATGAAGTAATTTCCCCAATTCGATCTAAATCATAAATATCGATAAAGAATACACAGTTTTTAAATTAAAGTGTATTTAGATACAATCATATTACATTATTTAACACAGAGAACTTAAACTACATGTTTACAAATTACATATAAAACTCAGAAGTGAGTGGAACTTACGCTTTGTAGAAAGATCCTTACATAATAATAATAATAATAATAATAATAATAATAATAATAATAATAATAATAATAATAACGTATACATGTAAACAACAGCACTCCCTCACAACACGGTACACAACATACTGTAATATCTCCACCTCTAACCCAAACAAACACACAAATACAACTTACCGAACAAACAAGTACAACAAATGATACAACATATACTACAATCAGAGATTCGCCTCTGAAGCAAACCACATTATCACGACCCATTAGTATTCAACCCAAACGCAAAAGCACTTTAGACTCACAACATGACACACAACATACTGTAATATCTCCACCCTTTACTCAACCAACCACACAAACACAACTTCCTGAACAAACAAACGCAATAAATACAAGTAACGCAACATGCACTACAAAGACGCCCTCACTCAATAAAGTTACACGGCCTAGCACAGCTAAAAAACACAATACTCTTTCCTCTCAGAAACACACCTCGTTATCACAACCCACTCGTACTCAACGCAAACGCAGCAACCTTAACAGCACTAGAGGCTCACAAAATACCGTAATGTCTCCACCAATAATGCGAGCAACAACACAAACACAACCTCTAGAACAAAGAAACACCATAAATACAAGTAACGCAACTTGCACTACAAAGACAGGTCCACCCAATAAAGTTACACGTCCTAGCACAGTTAAAAAACGCAATACTCCTTCTTCTCAGAAACAACCCACTCGTATACAACCCAAACGCAAAAACCTTGACAGCACTACTAGCTCAAAAAATACTGCAATATCTCCACCAAAAACCCAAGCAACCACACAAATACAACCTCAAGAACAAAGAAACACCACAAATACAAGTAACACAACTTGCACTACAAAGACAGGTCCACCCAATAAAGTTACACGCCCTAGCACACTTAAAAAACACATAACTCCTTCTTCACAGAAACACACCACATTGTCACAACCCACTCGTATACAACCGAAGCGCAAAAACCTTAACAGCACCACAGGCTCACAAAATACTGCAATATCTCCACCAAAAACCCAAACAACCTCACAAATAAGACCTCAGGAACATAGAAACACCATAAATACAATTAAAAAACACAAAACTCCTTCTTCACATAAACACACCACGTTTCACAACCCACTCGTATTCAACCCAAACGCAAAGCCAAAGAAACACTTACACAATAAACTCTATTTAATAAAATTACAGGAATTATTATAATGATATTTTTGTTTTGTTTTCTTCTTTCCTGATAGCGTTGACTATTGTGGCCATTAATAGCTATGTTGGTAAGTATGAATTACATACTATCCGTAGATTTCCAATGTGAGTGTGTGAATATTTTTTTTTTATTTTTCTTTAGAATCTACATAACTTCACCAGACACAGACACTAATCGTTACTTGATTTTAATCCGTGCGATTAGTTAACCAGGCTAGACCTGAGTTCTCACAAGAAACACCGACAATAATAATAATAATAACAAATACGACACCATACTACAAATACACGCCACAGATCATACTTGAAAACAACACACACAAATTATATTGGGACAGGACACTACTCACAGACAAAACTATCCACAATAATAGACCAGATATTACACTTATAGATAAAACACAAAAATCCATTTGTATTATAGACATTGCCATACCCAACACTAACAACTTATCTAAAACACATGCAGAAAAACACCGCAAATACACCGATATAGCTATCGAGCTTAAGACGCAATGGAGAATGAAATCTACTGTTATAGTTCCCATTATTCTTAGTGCTACCGGAGTTATACCAAAGACAATACACCACAATTTACAACTATTAGGTTTAGACAAAAACACATACAAACATTTATTTATTTTTTTTTTTTTTTAGATAATTAAAAGCTCTGAGCTGCAAGAAATTTCGACTGCTAAGGTCATTGAATGTTCTTGCGGGTGAGCAGTCATACTATATCTCTTTCAGAATATCTATAGCTTCCAGGTATTTTAATAGGTTTCCAAAAGTATCTTCTGCTAGGTTATGTTTTATATCCTAGCATATTGTTCGTAAATTTCTAAACATACCACAAGATACTACATACAGAAATGTGAAATGTAAATGTAAACAACAGCAAATCAGAGATTCACCTATAACGTGAGGTTAGTTCGGCGCTGTAAAACTCAAACCCCGCCGCATAAACGGCCAGCTAGCTCAGATTCTTAATTAAAAGAAGGGCTCGAGATGAGAATCTTCCACAGCGGTTTGTTCGTTTGGGCATATAACATAAGTTTTTGAGCTTTGGTAGTCACTAGAAATGATTAGTTGAGCGCCACCCAATTTTGCACAAATTCTGACCTCTCCTGTATAGAAATTGGGAAAACACAAGAGAGCCAAATAATAAATTCACTACGAGCAATTCTGATTTATTAATCCTGACAAAACGGTGCAGGATCGGCAAATAAAATGTATCTTCAATACGACAATAACAAATACTTTAAATGACAAAAATAATCCCCAAATAAATTCCTGAACACTTCCCTAATAATTACGTTACCAGCCCCCTACAACAATGATCGAGCAAAAATGTAGTTAAGATTTCAATGGATTCAAAGATTGAATTAAGTTAACCCGAATAACAACTCATATAGGCAACACTGGGTACAAGTAAATTAAAAATCTTACCTTGAATAACACATACGCTGTCTTCTCCGAAAAAGAGCTCTCCTTCGAAGTTCCAGTTCTGTAACACAAAAACAAACCCCAAGCTACAACGCTCGGAACGATTATATGAGCCGGAAGGGCCAAAAATAGCTTACTCGTAGCCGGCTCGTTTACCCATACGTTAAATACAGGTGCGTTGCTCTTGAAGAGAGCCACGACCTCAAACACTAGATGCGAACAAAATACAAAGCTCCGATCATAAATCGTCGGAAGGTTACACTAGATTAACGGTATTGAAGCAAATAAAAAAAGGTTGTGTAAAAGATCGTATCTTCCGAAAATTCCACAATCAGCTGGTCGCTCCCGGTATCGTTTAGGTGTTAGCGCTTATCTACTCGGTGGTACGCCGGATAGCTGCCGGCAATCAACAGGTGTTCGTACTCCGGAATATTCGCAAGATGCAAATTCATTTACATACAAGGATTCGTCTGTACAAGAATTCATCTACTACATGGATTGACCGGTACAAGAATTCATCTACTACATGGACCCCCTAAAAGTAATGAAGATGTACAACTCCCTTAACGAGATTTTTAATAACATACCTGAAATCGTCAGGAGGGTAATGAAAAATACTTAAATCAATGAAATAGGTATGGAAATTATCCAAGAGGTTGTGAATCTGAAAGAATTTTAGATAACATAACGTAAAAGAAAACCAACGCCATTTCACTTACATGTAGGTAGGGCGATGAACTTCCACCAGATATAGCCTCACAACGGAGAAAACGGCTTCTGAGTTACTCTACTCGACAACGCCAATAAACAGGTAAAATTGCCAGAGATTTTACGTGAATGATGGCAAATATTACCCACTGGTTTTAGAAGAATTCACAATGCCACGCTCTACAAGTACAACCTCGTTGGCTTTAAAACGGAAATGAAGTGAAAAAATTACGCGATTCTGCGCGAGGAAAGAAGCACGCGTACAAGTGACGCCATCTCACCTATATCCTGCCTAACGTAGCAAGCGGTAATTTTGAAATTTGAATATAAATAAACTAAACTGTTACACACCTCTGAAGCAAACCACATTATCACAACCCATTAGTATTCAACCCAAACGCAAAAGCCTAAACAGCACTTTAGACTCACAACATGACACACAACATACTGTAATATCTCCACCCTTAACTCAACCAACCACACAAACACAACTTCCTGAACAAACAAACGCAATAAATACAAGTAACGCAACTTGCACTACAAAGACAGGTCCACTGAATAAAGTTACACGTCCTAGCACAGTTAAAAAACACAAAACTCCTTCTTCACATAAACACACCACGTTATCACAACCCACTCATATACAACCCAAACGCAAAGCCAAAGAAACACTTACACAATAAACTCTATT